CTGCACTTGGCCGCAGCCCCAGTGACGTGGGGACACAGCCATCTCCTCCTGCCTTGCACGCAGCTGTGACTCACAGGTGAGCGTGGCACTACTGTGAGAGCCCCCAGTTGTTTCTATATCTGTCCCCAACTCCTGCCTCTGCCTTCCCAGTGCTGTTCCCTGCCTGTGGGGCTGAGGGTCCTTGCGTGCGCTGCGTGGCTGCCGGCCCTGTGCCAAGGCGGTGACGCAGCCCTCCTGCTCACGGAGATATGAAGTCATCCCGGATGGGTCCGCACAGGGGATGAGTTCCCATGGTGACAGACAGCGATGCACCCTGGCGGGGCAGGGCGGATGTTTGGTCCTTTTTATTCTTTTCTTCTGGAGATGGGCGCTCAGCCAAAGAGCCGAAGGAGCAATGGCACAGCCTCTCAGGGGAGAGCGCCGAGGACAAGTCTGGTCCCGTGTGCTGCGCAAATCCTTCTGCAACACAGATCTCTGTGTCCACAACAGGGCTGCTCCCATCCCTCTGCAGCCTCCGTTCCTCAGCCATGGGATGTCCCAGCAGAGCGCTGCCCGGAGTTTTATCCTTCCCATACACCATGCATGCTGCAGGCAGCTTTAAACGGAGGTGCTGCTGGGAACCCGGTGTTGCTAACTGGTGTAAGCAGTATGGATGCATAACATCATCCTGCAGGTAAAGCGGTGTGTGCTGTTACTTCTGTGCCTTGACCCGAGATGTGCTTAGGGACATCTTCTCAAACACCCCTGTGCGATGGGGACTCTGCATGAGCACTGCCAGAACTCCCCTGGAACCACATGTCCCTTCTAGAGGGGTGGGGTGTGGATGTGGGTTGTGAAACACTGTAATAGAGGCAGGGAGGAAGCATTGAGCAACCACCCCAACCTCCTGGCGCTGGGATTTGCAGCCCAGGCTGGAAATAAGGGAGTCCTGTACCAGAGAAGGGGATGCAGGGGTGTAGGGCTGGGACAGCTGAGCTGAGCAACCTCTCTTACATACCTGCAGCGCTGGGCCCAAGCAGCTGTTATCTGAAGGAGGAACAAACCCTCAGAGCCCTATAAGGCTGTGCACCAGATCACCCCGGTGTGTGCCTGCAGAGCCCGCGGGCAGGGCAGGGAGCTCAGTGATTGCAGCTGTACCGATGTGCCCCCAGGGCGGGTGCTTTGCTGCTGCAAAGCAGCAGCAGATAGAGACTTGTGCCAGGACCCAGGGGGTGAGGATGGGGAAAAGCAGCACCAACCCCATGTAGAATGCAGGGGTAGCTTTGCTGCTCCCCATCCCTTGTGCTTCCGTCCATCCCCACGAGCAAGCTGGGTTCCCTCTGCACAGCCATATCCTGCTGTGGGTGGGGGCAACGGAGCTGGAAGTGGAGCTGGGAGCAGCCCGTGCTCAGGACCATGGAGCTGAATTTCTGCAGGATGAACCCAGCTGTATGGGTGGTCCCTTGTAGCTGGGGCACTACAGCCCCTCCCTACTGTCCCCCTCTGTTGACCCAGAGCCTGACTGAGGCTTCTCGATTCTAGCGTGCTGGGATGGCTACGAACCAGCAGCGAGAGCATCCCTCTGGGCAGAGAAAGGCTTTCTGCCTGAGGTTTTGCTCTGCTGCGCCGTGGTTTTGTGACATGGGGTGCCACGAGGTGCCCCCCCGGCACGCAGCAGCCATGCCAAGCTTTGCCGGGACAGCCGGCGGCGGCTGCTGATGGGAGACATTCCTGGAGCTTGTCCCAACCGGCCCCGCTGCGGGCGGCCCCCCCAGTCCCTCCTCCCCGCGTAGCACCAGCCCCCAGCTGTCCCAGCCCCATGCACTCAGCCCAGTGGCAGGGCCGAATCTCCACCAGCTCATGATGGAGTGGAAGCCGCCCCCTCCCTCTCTGCCTGCCCTTGCTGGAGATGCCAGGCAGGGATCTCCGCTGCTTTCGCATCCCTTGCTGTAGGGAAGGAGCGAGAGCCGCCACACTGCATGCATGTGCACATACACAGGTTTTGCTGCCAGACTGCAAAGGAATCCCATCCGGAATCCCATCCAGGCTCCGCTGCTCCCGCTCATAGCACAGCGGAGCTAATGGCAGCGCTCCGGAGCAAAGCAGTGCAGATCTGTAGCCCAAAGCTCCGCTCCAGCTGTGCCTCGTGACTCACTGCTCGGCATGATGCGGGGTTGGAACTGCACCCCAGGCTGCAGAAAGCAGCTTTTCCCTCCCTTCCCATTAAGCCGGCGGTGAGGGCGTCTGCCAGGCACGCGCAGGGCAGGGAGAGGCTCAGCCCCGGTGCTTTGCGTGTGCCTGTGCTCAGCAGGGCGAGGGGCTGGGGCTAAGGGTTAGAGTTAGGGTCAGGATCAGGTTTGCACGCTTTGATCAATGCCATCAGGAGGACCACGTGCTCCCTTGGGGCCAGCCCAGCCAGGAGACGGGGAACCCCAGGCGTAGACTGCAGGAACCAGCACTGGCTGCTGGCCCTTGTGGGTTGAGAAAGGACAGACAGCAGCTTTGAGGATGTTCCAGTGGGATTGGGGAGGCTGTCATTGCAGGGAATGGGTCTGGGGCTGCCAGGGACAAAGGGTGGATGGAAGAGTAGAAATTGAAGCTTGGGGTTGAGGGAATGCCTGCAGTGGGGTTCTCTGGTGGGAATAGGGCTGCCGCTCCCCCCACAGTGTGACTCACGCACACCTGGTGCTCCCCCTCCGCAGGCGCAGATTCTTTCCCCAGTCCTGGTATGCGGGGGAGCCTGGAAGCACCAGCAGTCCCTCGTGCTGCAGAGCGGGGCTTGCAGATTTTAGGGTTCCCTGCATACCCTGCATAGGGATGCTACTGCAGGGCTTTCCCCATGGCCACTGCCCCTTGCCAGGTTTGGCTATGCTGCCGGGCCCAGGGTGGTTGCAGAGCATCACTGTGTGCCCTGCTCTGCCCGTGCACCGGTGACCCTGAGCTGCTCCGCCAGCGCCGGGCCCAGGGCCAGCGGCAGAACCCTTGGCAGACCCCTCCACTCTCTGATTAATGAAGCCCCTGTCTAATTGGGACAGGCCATCTTGCCTTCATTAAGCAAACTGTGGTGGGAGGAGGGCTTGTGGACGGCCCTGACCTGGGGTCAGGCCCACGGCCGTGGGGCAGTTGGAGGACACCTGTGGCCATGGTGACCTCTGAAGCAGATTTAGGGGCCTCACAAGGGTTGGCTGCAGAGAGGATTGGGATGATCTGCTCATGTTGCCTGTAAGAGAAGAGGGGCACCTCCACTCCTCCCCTGCTCAGAACAGCGCGCTCCTGGGAAAGCTGCCTGCAGCTGCCCCAAGCACCCCTGCTTGCAGGTGGCCCTGCCCCAGCCCCTAGATGCGAGATGACCCCTTGCCACCTCCCTGGTGCCCACGGGAAGATGCCCCTGGAACCATGCTGGCACTCAGAGGGGAGACTCTAGGCTGCTGTCCTCACATGAGGCCACAAGGGTACAGCTACACAGGGTGCTGGGAAACAGGGAGGTGGCATGGGACATGCTGGTACCCATCAGCATGGATCAATCCAATGGGAACAAGCAGGCTGGAGGATGGGGCACCCTGATGGACCACACATGGCCCTACCGTAGGTGGGAGGCACCCAGGTGTCCCCCAGCTCAGCACCTGAGCATCCTCTCCTGCAGTCACCCCAGCTGCAGTTCTCTGTCTTTGGACAGTTCTCAGTCACCGCTTCCTCCACACTTGGCACCAAGAGGTGGTGCTCAGGACAGGAGGGATCCCACAGCCGCTGCCCCCCACCCCATGGAGGCACAGGAACCGTCCTAGCACCAGCAGGGATGGAGACGCTGGAAGGAAAAGGCTCCATGGCTCAGGGGACCCTTTTGGCTCGGCACTGAGGCCTCTTTTGGAACTCGCGGAGAAAACTTCCCGGGGGTTTGACCCGGTCCCAGTCCCGGAGTGGAGGGCTCTTCTCTCTCCTTCCCGGGACATTTTGGGGTGAAGAGCGGGAAAAAACGCACCTTCCTGCCCTGATCCCGCCCTCCCATGGGAGCGAGTGGGAAAAGCCCTTTGGGGTGGGGAATGGGGGGGGGAGGCGGGACAGGGCGGGAGCCGCGGCACTAACCCCCGGCGGCGGCACCGCCGAGCTCCGGGCCGCCCTGATTAAAGGGGCGGGAGCGCCGGGGGCCGCCTGGGCACGGCACGGCTCGGCACGGCTCGGCTCGGCACGGCTCGGCTCGGGGTGGCCCCACGCGGGACGAGGTGGGTGGCGAAGCCGCGCGCTCCGTGAGCGGCCCCCCCGTGCTCTCAGCCCGGGTGGGAGACAGCGGAGGGAGGCGGGGAGGCGGGGGGGTTCCCACGCCGCCGCGCTCGGGCATCCGTGGGTCACCGCCTTCGCTTTGGACTCGGCCGGGCCGTACTGGGGCTGGCACACGGGGCGGGCGGGGTGCTGTGTCCGGGCACGGGGCCGGATCCCCCCCGCAGCTCCGCGCCCGAGTGCGGGAAGTGGCGCCGGACGGGTGCTCGTGGGAAGCTGCTGCCCTCCCCGTCCCCACGGGATCGTGCTCTTCCTGGAGCCCTCACTCGTGCCATCCCACTGCGTGTAGGGCAGGAGGAGACAGCAGTACAGATCTGTGGGGGGCGCAGCCGGCATGCAGGCTGGCAGCCTCCTGTACTGCCCTCCTGTCCTGGGCACTGGGCATCAGCCGGGCTGGGTGCGATGTGGAGGGACCGAGTGGAGTTGGGTGCTGGGCAGTGGCTCTCTGCATTGGGACTTTCCACCTAGCTCTGTTTTCTCAGACCCAGTGCAGTACTCTGGACACAGCCTGGGGCAGGGAACCCAAATGCATGGGTACCACTGTGGTGCAGCCCAGCCATGCCCACATCCTGCAGTGGGCAGCTCTGTGGGTTATCTGTGTTTACTTTTTCATTTTGATGTTATGGCATTTCACTCCTTTTTATTGCTTCTGCCCAACGCATCCATCACCACCGTGCCCAGAGGCATGGGGTTGGCACAGGGTGGTGGCTGCAGCATCCTCTCCTGCTGTCCTGCAGGGCCCCACAATGAGTGGGTGGCTCCTACTCCTCGCCCTGCTTCTGGCCCCCCAGGCTGCTGCCGCACAGAAGAGGAGCCAAGGTGGGTGCTGAGTGCTGGGTATCATTATAGGGCCTACAGCGAGGTGAGAGGGGCTCTGCTGCTCCTCCCCACTGCAGCACCCCAAACTTGAGCTTGAGCACGGGGATCCCTATGGGAGTGGGCACCAATGCGACATGAGCTCAAGGAGAAGGGACAGGTCTGGGGGTCCTGTGCCACAGGGCACCGGGGGCTGATGTGGGTCCCAACCAGTGCTGTCCCATAGTGGTGTGTGAGAACGTGCTGGAGGCTGACATCGCCTTCCTGGTGGATGGCTCGTCCAGCATCGGCCGGAACAACTTCCGTGCCATCCGCACCTTCGTGGAAGACCTGGTGTCACCCTTCGTGCACGTGGTGGGTGAGAAGGCGGTGCGCTTCGCCGTGGTGCAGTACAGCGATGATCCACGGTGAGCCCTGGGGATGGGGCATGCGGGGCTATGGAACTGTGGGGCTGGGAAATTATGTGTCCCCATGTGTCCTGATGTCCCCAGGGTGGAGTTTGGCTTCTCCCAGCACACCAATGGCACAGGCATCCTGAGAGCCATCCAGCAGCTGAGCTACAAGGGCGGCAACACACGGACCGGCACTGGGCTGCGCTACGTCTCTGACAACTTCTTTGGTCCCACACAGCTCCGGCCCGGAGTCCCAAAGGTATGGGGTGGGGAGTGGCATTTGGGACGTCCCAGAGGTCCATGGGGCTGAGGCTCACGGCTCTGCAGATCTGCATCCTCATCACGGATGGCAAGTCCCAGGATGATGCTGAGCAGCCGGCACTGAGGTTGAAGAGCCAGGGCATCAAGGTCTTTGCTGTGGGTGAGCAGATCTATGATGTGCCCATTGGTATCCATACCCCTGAGTAATGGGCTCCCCTGGGGCTGGGCTCTGCCCTCACCCACCATTCCTGTCCCCTTCAGGGATCAAGAATGCCGACCGCCAGGAGCTGATCCGCGTGGCCTCACTGCCTACTGACTCCTTCTTCTTCTATGTGGGTGACTTCAAGCTGCTGGGGACACTGGTGCCACTGATGACACGCAGGGTGTGCACAAGCTCAGGGGGCACGCTACGCACCCCTGGTAGGAGACCTTCAAAAGAGGGCATGGGAGCTGCCTTAATGCCTTCTCCCCACGCACCCCGGAGCTGACAGCCCCACGTCCCCCCACAGATGGAGCAGGCCATGCTGGTCCCTCCAACCTGGAGGTCCTGGAGCACGGCCCCGATGTGCTGCGCATCCGCTGGAGCCCAGCCAGCGGTCCCGTCACCGGCTATAGGGTGCAGCGTGTCCCACTGACGGGGCTGGGGCAGCCGCTGGCAGCTGAGCGACAGGAGGTGAGCGCTGCCCTGTGCCCACTTGGGGTGCCTGGTGCCCACCGGCATCGGGGTGACACTGCTCTCTCCCAGGTGAGTGTGGGTCCGCGGGAGACAAGCACTGTGCTGCGGGGGCTGCGTGCAGGGACGGAGTACCTGGTGACTGTCATCGCTCAGTATGCCAACAGCGTCAGTGAGTCGGTGTCTGCGCGGGCACGCACCCGTGAGTACATGTGGGGATGGGGAATGTGGGTAGGTGCTGGCAGCACGTGGCCCTCATTTGTCCCCTTGCTGTCCCCAGAGAGTCGTGGCGGCGTGCAGCATTTCCACGTGGTCGAGGCTGGGCCGACCTTCCTGAGGCTGTCCTGGCAGCCCGGCCCCGAGCCACCCCAGGGCTACATCCTCAGCTACGCCGTGCCAGGTGAGGGGACATGCCGTGCCCCACAGGCACCTATTTGGGGTAGCTGCGCGTGCTGCAGCACCTGGCGGCCCCTCCCTGTCCCTGGGCGCTGCCCTGGCCCCCGTCCCAGCCTCACCCCACGCTCCCCACCCCTGGCACCGCCTGGCATCCCCGGGGCAGGGAGCTGTGCACACCCCTTCCCTGCCACACACCTGCCCTCGCCCCTTCGTGTCCCCCCCAGGAATGCCCCAGAGTGAGGAGAGGAGCCTGGGGGCTGGTGCACTGTCGGCCACACTCAGCAACCTGCGCCCCAACACCGAGTACGTGGTGACGCTGCGGGCACGCTATGTGCAGCAGCCTGCAGCCACTGCCAGCCTCACTGCGCGGACACGTAAGCACCACGCAGCTGTCCCCGTGCAGGGGCATCACCTGTGGTGGGACAAGGAGATGGGATGGCACAGCCTATGGGTCCCTTTTGCAGAGGCAGGCACGGAGCAGACGCTGCGGACCAACATCCTGAGCCCCACATCCATTCAGGTGCTCTGGACTGCCATCCGTGAGGCCCGTGGCTACCGCCTGGAGTGGAAAAGAGCTACAGGTGGGCTCACTGCACCTGGTCCCAGACATGAATGAGGCCAGCAGCAACCCCTTTTGACATTGCCATTCCCACAGGGCTGGAGACTCCCAGGACAGTGTCGCTGCCCAGCAGTGCCAGCACCTATCAGCTGACAGGGCTGCAGCCAGGCACTGAGTACCGCATCACTCTGTACACACTGTATGAAGGTGGGGAGGTGGCCACCCCTGTCACCACCTTCCAGACAGGTGAGCCCAGACCAAGACATGATGCATGGCATCACTGCAATGGAGCCACGGGACCTCTGGCTTGCTGGTCCTAGCTTTGGAGAAAGTTACAGCAGTGCCACCCTGCAGGTGTGGAGGTACCAGTGGGTGCGGTGTCGGATCTCCGTCTCATCGAGGATTTGGGCAGGAGGGTGCGGCTGGGCTGGACTGGCGTCCCCGGTGCCACTGAGTACAAAGTGACAGTGCGCAATACCCAGGGTGAGCCAGCGGGATGGGGCCACGGTGCCATCGCTTGGCACCTCCCGTGGCACTGAGGGTCCATGGCACCCTGCTTCCTGCAGACGGCACCGAGAGGACGAGGCGCATCCCAGGCACGCAGACAGTGCTGGAGCTGGGTGACCTGCGGGAAGGTGTCACCTACCTGGTGCGCGTCTCAGCCCTCGTGGGCAGCCGGGAGGGCAGTGCTGCTGCACTCAGCATCCACGTCAGTAAGTGTGCATGGTTAGCCCCAGCCTGGGCTTGCGGTGGTCACTTGGGGTGTCCCCATGCTGACGTCCTGGTGCCATTGGGCATGCAGAGTTCCCACCAGTGGGCAGTGTCTCGGAGCTACGGGTGACGGAGGCCGGCCCCAACCAGCTGCGGGTCACATGGAGGGGGCTACCAGGAGCCGGGGGGTACCGGCTGACATGGAGGGCCAGCGATGGTGAGTGCAGGGCTTGAAGGTGATTTGGTGGTGCCATGGGAGCTCTTCCCATCTCAACTCTCTCTCCCAGGTCAGGAGCAGTCCCGCTTCCTCCCTGCCAACCCTACTGCCTACACCATCGAGGGGCTGCGAGCTGGCACCGTCTATGCCATTGGTGTCTCAGCCATCATGGATGGCCGCGAGGGTCCTCCTGTCACCACCATGGGGAGGACAGGTGAGGTGTGCCCTTGCCTGTTGCTACCAGCTGATGCCAGGTGCCCTGGCTGCAGGTGACGGTGGTTCTCCCTGTGTCACAGCAGCTGAGCAGGTGGGGACAGTATCCCGGCTGGAGGTGCAGTCATCCAGGAGCAATGTTGCCCGTGTCACATGGGTCGGTGTGCCAGGAGCCACAGCTTACCGTGTGGTGTGGAGCCGTCGGGACGGTAGCACAGGATGGGGACAAGGGTGGGGCAGTAATGATGGTGGCACCAGGGCTGATGTGTTGCCCTCGGCAGGGGGCTCGGAGAAGAGCCAGCATGTTCCCGGCCACATCAGCTCCTTTGACATCCCCGACCTGGAGGGAGGTGTCTCCTACACTGTGAAGGTCACAGCGCTCATAGGCAACCATGAGGGCAACCCTGTGTCCATCATCGTTACCACCCGTGAGCATGAGGCTAGGGGACAGCACACGGGAGGAGTGGACACCTGTGCCCTAATGCCTGCCCGTATCCTCCACAGCGGAGGCGGCCCCAGTGCCCCCTGTTAGCAACTTGCAGGTGATGGAGGCCTCGGAGCATCGCCTGCGCCTCGCATGGGTGCCAGTGTCTGGCAGCAGCGGGTACCGCCTGGTCTGGCGCCCAGCTGAGGGTGAGTGTGCCCAAGCCTTGTTTTCCCATGGCAGCCCACGGCCCCTCACCTCTCTGTTTCCACCAGGTGGTCCCCAGCGCAGCCAGCAGCTTCCAGCTACCACCAGCTCCTATGACCTGGGAGGGCTGGAGCCAGGCCGGCGCTACCACATCAGCATCACCAGCATGGTGGGCAGCCGGGAGAGCACGCCAGTCGCCGTCACCACTGCCACTGGTAAGGGATGTGTGGTGCTGTGGGGAGGTTGGGATGGAGGAGCTGCCCCGTGGGCTGGAGCACCCTATTTCCTTTCAGCAGCCTCTTCGAGTCATGCCACCAGCCTGCGAGTGACAGAGGTGCAGAGAGACTCCGTGACATTGTCCTGGACCCCTGTCCCTGGTGCTTCTGAGTACGTCCTGTCCTGGACCCCCCCTGCAGGTAAGCTGGACACTTGTCCCTGGGTGGAGGGCAGCTATCCCCAGGGGTTTCACTGTCCCTGTCCCCCTGACTATGGGTGCAGCGGGCGGTGAGGCACGGCGCGTGGTGCCGGGCACTGCCAGCTCCCTACAGGTCCCTGGGCTGCGCTTGGGCCAGCGCTACACCTTCACCATCCGCCCGCTTCTGGGGAGCACACCTGGTGCTGAGAGCTCCATCAGCGAGCGACCAGGTATGCAGGTTGGGATGGGTGTCAGAGGGGATGGGGTGCTGATGTTTCTGCTCCACCTTGCCCCTTCCCTCACAGTCTGCAGGGACGCCCGAGGGGATATTGTCTTCTTGGTGCATGGCACACGTGACAGCTCTTCGGGTGCTGACACTGTCCGCACACTCCTCTCCAACACTGTCACCGCTCTTGGCCGCCTGGGCCCCGATGGCACCCAGGTATGAGGCTTACATGGTGTCAGGGGGCATGGGACAGAGGGATGACAATGCCAACCTCTGTCCCTTGCCCTCGCAGGTGGGCCTGGCCACGTACAGCTACCGCAGCCTGCCCTGGCTGCTCCTCAACCGCTCCAGCGAGCTGCCCACCGTGCTGGAGCAAATTCGCACCATGCGCTACGAGGAGCCCAGCGGCAATGCCATAGGTGAGGGGATGTGTTAGGGCTGGGCCAGTGGCCAGTGGGATCTTGCTGACCCCCCCATCCTTTTATCCTCCCTCCAGGGGCAGCCATCACCTTTGCTAGGACCTACCTGCTGAGCCCTGGCGCAGGACGGCGGCCCGGTGTGCCGGCGGTGCTGGTGGTGCTGGCCGATGGCCCCTCTGGGGATGATGCCATCACTGCTGCCAGGGATGCCAAGGCAGCGGGTGAGGTTGGATAGGGTCCCTGTGGGATGGGGTCCTCATGGGATTAAGTCCTTGTGGGATGAGGTCCCTCTGAGCACTCCAGCCAGGTACTGAAGGTGCTGTTGGTGCAGGGGTACGAGTGCTGGCAGTGGGCTTGGAGGGTGCAGACCAGGAGCAGCTCCGGCGCATGGTCAGTGGTGAGGACCCACGCTTCGTCTTCCGCAACCGTGGTGCCCTGTCAGAATTGGAGGGAGAGCTCACTGATGACCTCTGTACCATCATCTCCACCAGGGTGAGAGACTGGGGGCTGCCCAGGGCTGGGGAGCAGACCCCATGGAGCCAAGGTCTTCCTCTCTCACACTTACATGTCCTCCTCTTGTCTCACCAGCCAGAGCCGGAGCCAAAGCCCTGCACTGTGCAGTGCCCCAAGGTGAGTATTCCTGTGGCATGGGGTCTCAGTGTGAGTTCCCCACCTTGCCCACGGTGTGGGGCTGAGCTGGGGGCAGCTGCTGCAGTGGGGTGCAGCCTCTCAGCTCTTCTCTCTGTCCCCTTACAGGGAGAGAAGGGAGACCCTGGTGTGGCAGTAAGTGTTTGAGACCCCCTAGAGCTGTGGGTTATGGCAGGGCTGCCATACTTGCAGCAGTCCTCAGTGAATGCTGATGGCTGGCTTTGTCTCTGCAGGGGCCACAGGGGCGTGTGGGGCAGCCAGGCCCCCCTGGAGAACCGGTAAAGTCCTGATGGGTAGTGTGGGGGGAAATGGGGAACAGTGCTACAGCCCCTGTGTCCCTTTGTCCTCCTGCTGAGTGGGTGTTGGGGAAGGGATCCATACAGCCCTTACCACAGTGGTGGATGGAGGAAACATCCCTTAGCCTGCCACCGAGTCTGTCTTCTTTGCTGTCTCAGGGCCGCCATGGACTGCCTGGCCCTCCAGGACCTGTGGGACCACGAGGGCCACCAGGAGAGAGCGTTGAGCAGCTGGGCAAGAAGGGGGACAGGGTGAGTGCCCCCTGTATCTGCACATCTTGGAGTCCCAGGCACAGGGACCTCCCAGCCATGACAGGAGAGGGGGGACCTGGGAGGAGTATGGCCCTGCTGTAATGTTCCTCTCTCCTGCAGGGCTTCCCTGGAGCTGATGGGCGGCCAGGGCTTCCTGGCCCCCCCGGGAACCCTGGGTCCCCTGGCCAGCCGGTGAGTGTGCATGTACCCATGGGTTTGCTGGTGCTTATCAAGCCTCGACCATTGGGCTCTATCCATCCATCAGCCTACCTTGCCTGCTCCCTAAGCTCTCTTCCTATCCGTTCCCTGTGCTAGGGTGGCCTCCCTTGTTGGTGGCATCATTGCTGTCTCCATGCCATCCCATCCCATGCCATCCCATGCCATCCCATGCCATCCCATCCCATCCCATCCCAACCCATGCTATCCCATCTCAACCTGTGCCGTGCCTTTCCTTGCCATGCCATGCTGTGTCATCCCATCCCTGCTTCCCTGGCTGGCAGGGACTATGCTTTCAGCTTTTGTTCTGCTGTTTTCCAGGGAAACCAGGGCATTCCTGGCCCCCGAGGGGATCCTGTGAGTATGACCCCCCTTCTCCCAAGCCCCATGCCCCCAAGGGCCCCCTTCTCACTCTTATTCATTTCCAGGGGCCACGGGGAACAGCGGGGCATCCTGGCTTGAAGGGGGAAAAAGGCGAGCCGGTAGGTGCTGGGCAGAGGGCTACAGGTGGACACCTTATCCCTTCTGCCTCCTAAGCTTGGCACTGGGGAGAGTCATGGCAGGGAACATGGTGGCACTGATTTTCTTTTTTTTTTTTTAATTACTTTTCCCCTCATTCAGGGAGAGCCCAGAGTGATCGTGGATGGAGGTCAGGGGTTGCCAGGACGGAAAGGGGAGCCAGGCACACCGGTATAGATGGGGCTGTGCATGCTGGGGGTGTCCACCAGTACTCCCTGCCCATGCAGCATCCCATGCTCATACAGCATCTCTTTCTTCCAGGGTAGCACTGGCCCCCCCGGCAACCCTGGCCCACGAGGTCCCTTTGGTGACCCAGGTCCTCCGGGTCCCCTTGGGCCAATGGGGCCACCAGGACCTGCAGGAGACTCTGTGAAGGTATGTTTCAGCTGGTGCTGTGTGGGGTTGGAGGGACAGCTGGCACCTTGAAGCTGCTTCCCATGCAGAGCTCCTGGTTCTGCATGGTTGTATTCATTGTCTGTGACCCCCACATCATCCATCCTTATAATGAGCATGATACATGATGTGCTCTGCCTCCATCATATGGGGATCATTTGGGGGGAGAGTGGGGCATGAATAGAATCCAGCCCCGCCCTTACCTGCTCTCTTTTACCTTGCAGGGGGAGAAGGGTGATCGAGGGGAGAGGGTAAGTGACCATGTTTGCCTGGTACCTCTGCCTCCCAGGGCACTGGAAACGGCTGAGCTATGGGGCTGCCATGCAGGAACTCAGCCCTCTTTCCACAGGGTCCCCCTGGACTGGTCGATGGGGCAGTGCCTCGAGGGGAGCCGGGCCCCCCGGTGAGTGCTGGGCTCAGGGGGGGAGCAGGGCTGTGAGTCCCCCCAGAGGCTGAGCTGTGCCCTTGCCAATCTCTTCCAGGGTCCACCTGGGGAGCCCGGCCCACGGGGACTTGCTGGTACTCCCGGCCCCAAGGGTGAGAAGGTAAGAGGGAGCCAGGACCCCCGTGGTTCTGTGATGGGGACAGATAGCTCCAGTTCATGGGCATACTGCTGGCTTCTTCACCTCGCAGGGCGACGGTGAGGAGGGATTCCCAGGGCCACCTGGCCGTGCAGGGGACCCTGGAGAGCGGGTGAGTGTTGTGGACAAGGCAGGGTGGGCAGAGCATTAACCCTGCTTGGGAGATGACGTCTCTCTGCCCTCCTCTTCAGGGCCCACGGGGACCTCCGGGAGAGCAAGGCAGGAAGGTGAGTGGTGAGGGGATGCTCTCATGATGCACCTCAATCCCCCAGCTCCTCTGTGGGGAGAAAAAGAGATGTGGGTGCTGTGCCACCCCCCTGTGCCAGCCACCAACACCATCTGTCTTTCTCCTGCACCAGGGAGAGCGCGGGGCACCAGGCGAGCTGGGGGAGACGGGCCAGAAGGTGAGGTGGTGGTGGTGTGTGGTTGGGCACTTTGATGGCCCCTGGTGGCCCTGGGGTCCACGTGGTATTGTGCCCCTGGGAGGTGACTGGGGGTCTTGAGTGGGACCATGGGCTCACCACGGGGTCCTGGGGGTGGGAGGGTGGCTGCCTGAGATGCTCCTCTGCTTCACTCTGTAGGGAGAACGTGGTGCACCTGGCCCCGAGGGTGAGAAGGTAAGTGGGCACCCATGGCCATGGTCATGCCCTTCCTAGGAGCACCTTCCCCTTCCCCTTCCCCTTCCCCTTCCTCTTCCTCTCATCCTCTAGGGCAAGACAGGAGCTCCAGGACGGCCAGGGCCATCGGGCAGAGAGGTGAGCATGGGCACCCAGAGCACTGTGGGGTGGCTGTGACACAAGCACATGTCCCCAGGCACCGCCAACCTCTGAGTATCTTCTCTCTGCACCAGGGAGTACCCGGACCAGCTGGGCCACGGGGCGAGAAGGTGAGGGAGAAGCAGGGACTGGGACTGGGGCTGTGGGGAGGGGATGGCACTGACCCCATGTGTCTGCAGGGTGATGTAGGAGCACCCGGTGAACCTGGCCAGCCGGTAAGTGCTGCTGCCTGGCAGCCCACCCCATTCCTGGTGCGAGAAGTGGTGACTGCACCCAACACTGTCCCTGCTGCTTTGTCCCCAGGCTCCCAGCGTGGCCAGTGTCAGAGGAGAGAAGGTAGCCTTGTCCCTGACCTTTGGTAGTGTCCCCATGGCACAGCTGGGACAGGGGCACGGCACAGTGGTGCTGGATGCTGGCACCGTGGGGATGCCCATGCTGATCCTCAGCTGCAGCATGGGGAAGGGAGAATCTGGGGGGGCTAATGGTGCCATTTTCATCTGCTCCAGGGTGACAGAGGATTTCCAGGACCAGAGGGGCCTCCTGGCCCCAAGGGTGATGTAGGGGAGAGGGGTGCCCGCGTGAGTACCTCTGTGGCTGGGCAGGTGCTGGGGCACGCAGCCCATCTGGGCTCTCCTTGCTGTGCCTTGGTGCTGGTCCCACTGTTCCAAGCTGCTTCCCTTTGTCTTTAGGGTGTCCCTGGCCTGAGCATCCCAGGACCAGTTGGCCCCAAAGGCGAGCAGGGCGAGCGGGTGAGTGCACATAAATGCATGGAGCTGGGCTCTGATCTCATGCCCAGGTCTCCATTAACACACACTGTCCTTCCGCACTTCCCAGGGCATTACCGGCCTCACTGGCAGGAGCGGCCCCAAGGTAACAGCACTGCAGGAGGCTTCACTCCTTTGTCCATGTGTCCATCCATCATGGGTTACTGAGCCCTACTCCCCCTGGTCTCCCTCTTTCTCCCCCCAGGGTGATGTGGGGGAGCCAGGCGAGAAGGGTGAGCCAGGCAGAGTGGGTGCACCAGGACAGCCAGGGCAGCGTGGCAAGGAGGTAGTGTGGGGCTGGGAGCAGTGGAAGATACTATGAGGATGCTGAGGCCCCAAGAAATGGGGAGCAGCACAGAGGGACACTGGTGACTTGTTCTCTTGTCCCCTGACCTGTGCTATAGGGTGAGCGTGGAGAGAAGGGTGATGAAGGCACCCCGGTAAGTGGGAACCTCGTGGACCACTGCCCCTATGCTGCTCCCCAGTCCACTCACCCCATCTATCCCTCAGGGTGAAGCAGGCGTGCCTGGCAAACCTGGAGACAGGGGTCCACGGGTAAGTGCAAGGCTGGTGGGGGCCCTGGGCCAGGGGAGACCCTGGTGGCCCTGAGTGGCCCAGGGTAACACACATCTCCCCATGCCCCCCAACCAGGGGCTGCCTGGGTACCGCGGCTCCCCTGGAGAGAAAGGCGACCTTGGAGACCCAGGTCCTGAAGGCAGAAATGTGAGTGCTATCACATGACTGCCCATGGGTACCTCCTTACCCCATGGGTAACCCCATCTCCTGGGTACCCCATCCCCCTTCTCACTCATCCCTCTCCACAGGGCATTCCTGGAGCACCTGGCACCAAAGGTGACCGCGGGGAGCCGGTGAGTGACACTCACCCAGGAGCCAGATCTGCATCCCCTCCCCAGTACACACCAGATCCCATTAACAAATTCGGTCTCTTTTCTTTCAGGGCCCTCCTGGACCCCCAGGACGAGCTGTAAGCTGTACCCTCCCCCTTCCCTGCCAGCAGGTCTGTGCCCGCTCTGATGTCCCCTCTCTGCTCCACAGGTGGATGTGGGGCTTGGAGGAGCAGGAGAGAAGGGTGAGAAGGTAACAGCCACGAGGTGATGATGTGATGCTTTGCTGTGAGACTGCAGCGTTGCAGTGCCTCTGACCACTGTGCCATCCCTGCCAGGGGGATGCTGGGGATCCGGGCGAGGATGGAGCGAAGGGGGCCAAGGGTGAGAGTGGCCCCCCCGGACTGCCGGGATTGAGTGTAAGTGTAGGGTGAGTGATGGCCTGGAGAGCCACATTGGGCCCTGGGGTTGTGACCACCATTGTCATGTATCTCTTGCAGGGCATTGAAGGCCCCCGCGGCCCCCCCGGTGCACGGGTGAGTGCTCCTTTCCCCCTTCCCATGCTCAGCCCCACTTGGGGATGGAACAGTGCTTACTCCATCCTCTTCTCGTAGGGTGACCCTGGGGACCGAGGCTTGCCTGGAGAGAAGGTGAGGGGGATGGGGGCTGCCCACCACTCCCTGCCCCTCCGTGCAGCCCCAGTCCTCATGCAGTGCTCTGTTCCAGGGGGAACGTGGCCCACCGGGGCTGGATGGCCGCAATGGGCTGGAGGGGAAACCTGGCCCCCCGGGACCCACCGGACTGAGGGTGAGCGTGGTCTGGGGTGGCACTGGAAATGGGAACAGGGGATGAAGGCGGAGGTGAGGCAGAGTCATCCCACTGCACATCCACTGGAGATTCTCATGGGATGCTCACCTTTTCTTCATCTATAGGGGGACCCAGGGAAGCAGGGGGACCCTGGCCGAGATGTGAGTATCTTCTGGGAGTCTGGGTGTGCATTCTTCTCTTTCTGGGGACATGATGCTCCTGTTCCGTGCCCCTTGGTCACTGTCCCCCATCCCATGCCATGCCACCATGCCTGGCTGTGCTCATAGCAGAGGCTGTGTTCTGCTGCTGCCCTGTGCCTCCCCACTTCTCCTGTCCCTGCAGGGGCTGCCTGGACTGCGGGGGGAGCAGGGACCGCCTGGCACAATAGGACCGCTGGGACCACCTGGTATCCCTGTGAGTAACAGCCCTGTGTGCCATGGGGACATGTCCTGCTGCAGGGACATTTTCTGCACTGTGCCTCTGCACTTGGTCCCAGCTCTCCTAGGGGGCATCAGTAGGAGCTGGGACCCCATGACTGCCTGTTCTGGGGGCTCCTCTCACTGCCTTTCCTTCCTCCCAGGGAAAACCCGGTGATGATGGCAAACCTGGCCTAAATGGCAAGAATGTGAGTAGAGCACAGGGTTTGGCTTTGGGGCGTGCCTGGGGACCCTGAGAGCTGGCAGCCCCAAATTGGCAGAGGCGATGGGGGCATGTGGCACAGGATCCCCATCCCATGCCCTTGGGACTGCCCCTGTCCTGTCCATTGCTTGTGCTGTGGGTGCCAATTCATAACCTCCATCCCTAGGGAGAAGACGGGACGCCAGGAGAAGATGGGAGAAAGGTGAGGAGCAGAGCCCTGTACGGTCCCCATTGGTGTCACCTCTTGGTGTGCATCATACTGGGGACAGCATCATACTGAGTCTTTTTTTTTTTCCTCCTCCTTGTTAGGGAGACAAAGGTGATGCCGGAGCCCCTGGCAGAGATGTGAGTAGCCCTGTGCAGTGGGTTGTCCCCACTGGGGACAAGCTGGGACAGCGCTCAGTCACTGGGGGTGACACTACTCTCTCGGCAGGGCCACAGCGGTGCCAAGGGCGAGCAGGGGGACAGAGGCATGCCTGGCCTCCCTGGCCCCCCTGGTGTCCCTGGTGTCCCAGGGCAGGTCGGCCCCCCAGGCCAGGTTTGTTGTCCTCAAACTCTAGTTGCCCCATGGTTCACTTGAGGCCCCATGTCCATGGGTGCCACTGTGTCCCATCTGTACCTTCCAGGGCTCACCCGGCCTCCGTGGGATCACTGGACCAAAGGTAGGTGTCCTCCAGCCCTCTGTGACAAAAGTCTGGGGGGTATCCATGCTAGAGGGGGTGAGTCCTTCAGGGACCCTGTGGCTGGGCAGCCTGGCCCGGCTCCCCCTGACTCTTTGCTGTATGTCAGGGGGACCCAGGGGAGCCAGGACCACGAGGGGAGCCGGTGAGTATCCAGCACTGAGCACCGTGGGAGAACCACAGCCTCTCCCAGGCAGTGCCCTGTGGCCTTCACTCTGAAACCTATTAGTGCAGCAGCAGTGCTGCTCACCTCACCCATGGCACATCCCATTCCCTCTTGCTCTGCAAACTTAGGGGCGGCCTGGCGTCAGCGGAGACCCTGGGACTGCAGTGGTGAGTTCCCCGCTGGGCTGGGACATCAGCCTTGGAGGTCCCCAGAGCCCCAGTGGTAGAAGCAGCACAATAAGCTTCCTTTCTCATGTCCTTTTATTGTAGAACATCGAACGTAGCCTGGAAGCCCTTGGCATCAAGGTATGGGGTGGGCATGGGTATGAGACCAGGTGGTGGTGAGAGACCAGAGGGATGAGGGATGGGGCACTGGGACTGGAGTGCATGCCTGCTGATCGCTGCCTCTTTTCTCCCTTCCAGATCTCATCTCTGAAAGAGCTGACGGGTGCCTATGATGGGAGCTCAGACTCCTTTCTGCCCGTGTCCGAACGGCTGCGGGGGCAGAAGGGCAGCCGGGGGGAGCCAGGGGAGAGGGGTCCTCCAGGCCGGGAGGTGAGCACTGTGGTGCTCCAGGGCGGCCACTTCTCAGCTCAGACTCATTGCCACCTTCCCCCTGCCCACCTGGTTCTGAGACCTGAGCCCTGCTGAATCTCCCCAGCCCTAGGATGCTCTATGGGGGCTTGCAGCTCCCTGCATTTTGAAGTGTCCACCCCACAGCCTGGTATGCTTTTTTGCAGGGTTCCTTAGGCTTCCCTGGTGAGCGAGGACCCAAAGGTGACAAAGGGGACCAAGGTGCCCCTGGTCCTCAGGGCCCTGCAGGCCGGGCTGTGGGTGAGCGGGGCCTGGAGGGGCCACCAGGGCAGCCGGGGGAGCCAGGCAAGCCAGGCATCCCAGGGGTGCCTGGCCGGGCTGGTGAGCTGGGGGAGGCTGGGCGACCTGGTGAGAAGGTGAGTGTGGGGCTATAGGGAGGGGGACATGGCTTCCGGGCTTGGGGACAGCTTCCTGAGCTCCCCCACCTCCTTTCTGCAGGGTGATCGGGGTGAGAAGGGCGACCGGGGTGAGCAGGTGAGCTGTAATGGAAACACAGTCCCCTCTGTCCCTCTGCCCTCCATAAGCCTTGGGTATGCCCCATGGACTGAACATTATGGGTATGCTCCATCTGTTTTCCTTCTCACCAGGGCAGAGACGGCTTGCCAGGCCCCCCAGGACCTCCAGGGCCCAAGGTAGGTGGTGGATACTGCTGGGCACTGTCCCCAGGAGGTGCCAGCAGATGCCTCCAGGGATGGGTGTTCATGTCTGGTCCTCTGGCACGGAGGTTTAGAAAGGGTTGTGCCACTGGGGGACTTCCCTGGGGTCCCCTGGATGCCAGACCTGACCATGCTGTGCCCACAGGCAGACGCAATGGAGGGCAGCCTGATGGGCTTCCCAGGCGAGCGTGGTCCCCCCGGACTTAAGGGAGTGAAGGTGCGTGTCCAGGAGAAAGGAGCAGGGCAGCGATGGAACCAGAATCTGAGTTCTTTGAGGAGGAATGATGTGATAATTGCCAGCTGCAATGAGTTGGGAGAGTGGGTGAGCATCCCAAACTGCAGCATGTAGGTCTGATGGTATCTCCCTCCTTCCTGCAGGGTGAGCCTGGTGCCGAGGGCGAGCGAGGACCCAAAGGAGATAAGGTCTGAGTGTAGTAAGTCTCCTGTGGCTCCTCTGCTTCTCTGTTCCTCACACTCCCTTTCTGGGCTCAGCATCGGTCTCTGCTCTCCTCTCTTCGTGTGCTGCCAGCAGGGTGACCCCACAGAACGAAGCCCTGGGCAGGGGCACAGCTGGGGACATCCCTCTCTGGGTGCAAGCGGGATGTGAGGGCATGTGGAGGACAGGGACATCCCTGCCTGTAGCACAGGTCCTACAACTCTGTACTTCTCTCCACATCAGGGTGAAGGCGGCTCACGGGGTGAGCGAGGAGAGCCTGGCGAGAAGGGCAGGGATGGCTCTCCAGTGAGTATGGCACCAAACCTCCATTCTCATCCCCCCCTCCATCATCCTTGTCATCTCCACCTCTGTCACATCGTGCATCACCCCTGTGGTTTCCACCTCCATCTCCATCATGTTTTCCACCACCCCAATGGTCTCCATCTCCATCATGTTCTCCATCACCCCCATGGACTCCATCTCCATCCCCATGACATTCTCCACTCCCATGGACTCCATCTCCATCCTCATCATGTTCTCCAACCCCATTATGGTCTCCGTCGCTCCCACTGTCTCCATCTCCATCCTCATCACAATCTCCATCAACCAAACCCATTGTCTCCATCTCAGTCACTGTCCCTATCATCCCCATCTCCATTCTCATCACCACTATTGTCTTCACCATCTCCATCTCTTGCTCCAGGGCCTCCCAGGAGAGAGGGGTCTGGCTGGCCCCGAGGGGAAGCCGGTGAGTGTGGCTGCAGGGGGCTGAGAGCTGGGAGGGGTGGGCAGATCCCATGGTCGCACAGCAGTCACCACCAACCCCATTGGAGCATTCACATGTTGTTTGCATCCTTCCCTCCTACACAGGGCCCACAGGGCTTTAGAGGGCCCCCCGGCCCCTCAGTAAGTACCCCTGGGTGGGTACTGCATGGTGACACTGTGCTCATCCCCCAGGGAGCTTTATGTGCAGGTGGGGCTGCTTAGTGGTGGTGTGGTCCCGCTCCCCTGCTGGCTATAATGTGCTTCTTTGCAGGGCTTGCCAGGTTTCCCCGGTGTGCTGGGCCGCCCGGTAGGTGTCTGTCCCCAGCATGTCACTGTCCCCCTGGCTCCTGCTTGGTGTGTGCTAGGCATGGCGCATCCTGCTTGGAGCTGGCCAGGCTTGTCCTTGCATGGCATGGGTGCTTCCCAGAGCCCCTGTGCAGCAGGGACATCCTGACCACATCTCTCCCTCCTTCCCAGGGCAATCAGGGAGAGCCAGGGCCACCAGGACCTCCGGTAAGGAGACCCCTGTGTCACATGCAGGGCACTGCCCTGCAAAAGGGGACTTGGGGCAGATGTCCCCGCCATGAGTGGGGTTGATAGTCCTGGGATGACACTGTCCTGGTACCTCCTCCCACCTCATATTGGTGTGCCACCTGTGGGCATTGTGCTGAATGTAATGTCCCCTTGCAGGGTGCTGCTGGCCCACCAGGGAGCCAGGGTCCATCTGGGATGAAGGTACGTCATTGCCATTGTCATCAACACCTTCCTCATCTCCATGTTTGGTCTGGTGCAGGAAAGTGATGCCACTGTGGGCTGCAGAGAGAACTTGGGGTCTGGCCCCTCCTAGAGGCACTCAGTGCTCAGGGGACATAGGGACACAGCTGTGATGGTTGTGGCAGGGAAATGGATCAGCGAGGCTGACATGGGTTCTGTCCCCACAGGGTGATCCAGGGGAACCTGGTGCTGGCATCCGGGTGAGCCTCCCCAGAACCAACCCCTTCCTGGGGACAGCTGAGCTCCTGCTGTCCCAGAAAGATGAGCCAGCATGGCATCTCCTCTCTGACCCCACTGTTCCCCTTGCAGGGATTGCCTGGTCCCCAGGGAAGCATGGGACTGCCTGGCCCTCCAGGACCCCCTGGTCTGGTGGTAGGTACCCCCAACCCAGTCCTCAGGAGCAGCCCTTCCCACTGCTTCGACTGTGGGTTGATTTCTAGTCGTTTGTCCATCACAGGGCCCACCAGGTGCTCCTGGGCTGCCAGGACAAGTGGTGAGCATGTGCCCTACTGAGCTGCCCTCAGCCTTGGGGCATGTCAACCCCATGGCTGCCTGGCTGTGGGATGTGCATAGCCTCAGCTCTGCTCTCACATTCTGCAGGGGGAGAGTGGCAAGCCAGGTGTGCCTGGGCGAGATGGTGTGCCAGGGAAGGATGGCGAACCAGGGATGCCTGGGAAGTTGGTATGACAGCCAGTGCCATCGCACTGGGGCTGGGGGCTCAGCACAAGCTGCAGAGCTGGGGCTGAGGGCCTTGTGCTTTGTGCCAGGGTGTGCCAGGACCATCAGGCCCTACTGGCCCCAAAGGGGAGCCAGGGGATGCGGGAGCGCCGGGGCAGGTGAGTGCTTCCTTGCAGCTTCCCCTGCTCACCAGGGCTAGCAGATGACCACAGCCCCACTGACTGCTGCCTCTCTCCCCTCTGCCCCAGGGCATCGCTGGCCCTCCTGGTGCCAAGGGCGAGAAGGTAAGGAATGGGGTGTGCATGTTGGGGAGACCCTCCCCATAGCTGGCAAAGGTCTGTACCTGACCCTGTGTTGCTGCAGGGTGAGCCGGCGCTGCTGGAGGGCGTGCTGCTGGGTGAACCTGTGAGTTAGTGCCTATAAACCCATCCCTGTGTATCCCTGGGCTGAGCCAGACCCCAGCAATTCTCTCTCATCCCCAACACTGCTCTTCCTCCCTAGGGCTCCAAAGGTGCCCGAGGTTTGCCCGGCCCCAAGGGTGAGAAGGTGAGGAGGTGTCATGAGAGTATCAGGCTCTCTTGAGTTCCAGCCATCCCCACTCCCCCCACCTGTCACCCACCCCTGCTCTTTGCTTCTGTCCTCCTGCCAGGGGGAGCCTGGAGGAGCTGGGGAGCCTGGAGACCCCGGCGAAGATGTGAGTAGAGGATGTGGAGGGGAGCTGATGGGATCACATCCTTACCCTGTGCCCTGATGGCTCTGTGTCTTTGCAGGGAGCCAAGGGATCATCTGGAGTCAAGGGGGAAAAGGTGAGAATCCCCACCCCAAGTGCTCTGCCACCCCTGTGCTCCCAGGGGTGACTGTCCCCATGCTCTCTGACACCACACAGGGCACTCCAGGTGTCGGTGTGCGGGGACCACCAGGACAGGATGGGCCTCCAGGTTTGAAGGTAAGCCCTGCCTTATCCCTGGCCCTATGTCTGCTCCCCATCTGCCTCTGAGGAGGCTGTTTCCCTGGGCCATGTCTCTTTCCTCCTTGCTGCAGGGCGACATCGGTTTGCCAGGACCTCCTGGACCCCCGGGATTAGTGGGCATCGCTGGGGCACCGGGACAGCCAGGTCTGAGAGGGGAGAGCGGGCAGCCTGGCCCACCAGGAGCCCCTGGAGAGCGGGTAATGGCAGTGGGCTCGGGCAGTACCAGTGAGGGCTCGGTGGCTCCATTCCCTGCCCTGAGCCCTGACACCGTTGTGTGCCCCCCAGGGTGCAATTGGCTTCCCTGGGAGAGATGGTGCCGCAGGGCCACCCGGACCCCAAGGGCCCCCAGGGCCAGCGGTGAGTATGGGGCTGCAGCATCCCAGGGTGGGTGCAGGATCCCTCCCTGGTCCTGTGCTGGCTCATTGCGGGCTGATGGGGTCACCAGTCAGAGCACCTGGCACAGGTCTCCCATCGTTCATTCACCCCTCTCCTTTCCTTTAGGGCATACAAGGGGCCTCGGGGCTGAAGGGTGACAAGGTAGGACTGAGGACAGTGCTATGGCACAGAGGTGTGGGGCTACTCCCCTTGTGGGGTGCTGCTGCTCCCTCTTGGCTGATGCTGAGCCCACTCTGGGTGATGGCACCTGGCAGCCTGCTCTGTGCACTTGGGGCAGTGCAGGGGGCATGGGATGTGCATGGTGGGGGGACACAGCTGGGGCCACGGGAACTGCTGCCTGCTGAGGTGAACTGCACAGGAGAACAAACTCTTGTGTTCCCCCCAACAGGGTGACCCAGGGGCTGGGCTGCCAGGAGCCAGAGGTGAACGTGGAGACCCAGGACCACGGGTACCTAGTACCACAAAATCCCCCTGCCCACACCACTATGGCACTCCCATGTCCCCAACACGAGGGGTGTCCCCCAGACCCACTCCTCACACCTCCCTTCTTGTTTTCAGGGTGAAGATGGGCGCCCAGGGCTGGCAGGCGACCGTGGGCCAATGGTATGTACCAATCAGCTCACCATCCCCCTAAGTGGGCCCCCCCAAACCAGCATTCTCCTCTTTCCCTCAGGGCTTGCCTGGGAACCGAGGGGAGCGTGGGGACAAGGTAAGGGACCTCTTTTGGGGCTGGGGAGCCAGGGAGGGAGGGGAGTGCTCCTCCCTGCAACATCTCACTGTGCCCTCCTTGCAGGGAGATGTCGGGGCCGTCGGGCCCAAAGGAGACAAGGTGAGACCCCAGGGCTGGGGCAGGGGGTGGCAGTGCTGTTCACAGCCCCAGCTCACACGCACCTCTCTCCTGCATGCAGGGTGATACCATTGTGGTGGAAGGGCCTGCTGGGGCGAGAGGCAGCAAGGGGGAGCCGGTAAGAGCTGGGGGTCTGCTGGGGGACCCTGTCTCAGGAGGCACGTCCACCCCATAGACCCCCATGTCCCTGCCCGGACAGGAGCTCTTTCCTCCCCACCCCAATGACCCCTGATCCCATCCTTCTGTTCTCCCCTTTGCAGGGAGACCGTGGTCTAAAGGGCTCCGAAGGGGACAAAGGGGACAAGGGGGAGCAGGGAATGCCTGGTGAGAAGGTATGAGAAGGGGGGCAGGGCTGGGGAATGCTTGGTGACGGCTAGAGGGACCTAAGAGCATGGCAGCATTCTTGTGCCCCATGTGCATCCATGCCTCTGGCACAGTGCTGGACATCCTGGCAGTGTGTGGCCTTGCATTGGCCAGAGCTCTTCCTCCTGCCCAGTGCTGATCTGGGGCTGTGATTGCAGGGTGCAAGGGGTGAACCAGGCGAGAAGGGCTCCGCAGGCTTCCCTGGGGCACGTGGCCCTGGCGGGCAGAAGGTAAGGAGCTGGGCACCCTGTACCACGGTGGGGTCCTCTCGCTGCCCACCAGCCCTCACCCACATCTTTGTCTTTACCAGGGAGAAGTTGGTGTGCCGGGGGAGCCTGGCGAGCCGGTGAGGAACTGTGTCTCAGTACCAATGTCACCCCACTGTGGGGCAGGAGTGGTCCTCATCATGCTGTGTGCTTCCTGCAGGGCTTGCCTGGCCGGGATGGCATTGCTGGAGCACGAGGAGAGAAGGGGGACATGGGGCCATTGGGCTTGCGTGGCCCCAAGGTGGGTCATCCCCTGTGCTCCAGGGCCAGGACACACGCTGGCTTTGCTGGGCTCTGACTCCCTTTGTCCCTGCAGGGTGAGCGGGGCATGAAAGGCGCCTGTGGCCTCGATGGGGACAAGGGTGAGAAGGTGAGGGGATGACCATCCTGTAGCCAGGATCTTAGCCCTGCAATAGGTTCACACAGATCCTGGTCACAGAGTCCCCCCTCGTGCCTGAGGGAGGTGCAGGGCTGAGGACTGACCCCTGCTTTGCTCCTGCAGGGAGAGCCAGGGCTGCCGGGGCGCTCGGGGCTGCCAGGAAGGAAGGGTGAGCCGGTAAGCACAGTGCCAGCACCGTGCTGCGAGGAGGATGGGCATCCAGGGTTTCATAGATGTCTCTTTCATCCTCCAGGGAGAATTGGGGTTGTCTGGAGCACCCGGCGTCCCTGGGAAGGAGGGTCTCATGGGACCCAAGGTAGGGCAGTGGGAGGCTGTGCTGAGACCTCAGAAATGGTCCCTCAGGGCTGCTCCTCTTGAACTCTTGATGCCTGCACCTTCCTCTCCACAGGGTGACCGCGGCTTCGATGGGCAGCAGGGAGCCAAAGGAGACCAGGGGGAGAAAGGAGATCGGGTGAGCTGTGAGAAGGGGCTGCATAAGTCACACTGCATTGCTTGTACTGGGATCAAGCCTTGTCCAAAGGGCACTGAAGCTCCCAAAAGTGCCTACTCTGGGCTGTAGGTATGTGGATGTCCCCATCCTGACCCTCTGCTCCATCATAGGGTGCACCAGGCATGATCGGTACCCCTGGCCCCCGGGGCAGTGATGGTGCTCCCGGCCCCCCTGGCCCCCCAGGCAGTGTTGGGCCACGAGGTCCTGAGGGCATGCAGGGCCAGAAGGTGAGTCTCTGTCCCCCAAGAGGCCAAGGATTGGTGGTATCAGGAGCCGTGTCCCAGCTCCATGGCTTTGGGGGCCTCCCTGTGTCCCCCTGCTCAGGGAGAGTTAGGAGCAGGGGTTTGGGACCCCTGTCATGAGGCTGGGCTGGAGCCAGATGGGATGTGCCCATGTTCTTTACAGGGGGAGAGAGGCCCCCCCGGGCAGGCAGTGATGGGGGCCCGCGGTGTGCCTGGTATCCCTGGTGAGCGAGGAGAGCAGGTGGGTGAGCCCAGCCCTGCCCAGAGCAGACCCAGTCGTACAGCTCCCAGCCCCACTCTGTTTGTTCCTAGGGCAGTCCTGGTGCTGAGGGACTCCGTGGGGAGAAGGGGGATCCAGGCATGACGGTAAGGGGCTGTCAGCATGGGGCCAGCAGGTGGGAAGGGGCACTGCATCCATCCCACTGCTGCTTATGGAACATACCCAACTCCAGACTCTGCTCTGAACCTGGGGAAAGCTTTTTCCTGTCTCTAATTGTGCATTCTTTGCTCCACCACTGGGCAGGAGGAGGAGATCCGTGCCTTCGTCAGGCAGGAGATGAGCCAGCACTGTGGTGAGCACCTCACATCCGCCCTGGGTTTGGGGGATGCTCCACAAAGCTCCTCACTCACCTCCACCCCATCTCTCCTGCAGCGTGTGGAGGGCAGCTCTCACGGCGCTTGGATTCCCGTGAGCACTCAGGTTGTGTCTCTGTTCCTCTCCCCATGCCCTTGCCCAGCTCGCAGCATTCAGTGGGGCTGTAGGGTCATAGAATATCCTGAGTTGGATGGGGGGCGCAGCAGTGGGTGGGATGGGGTACAGGGTCCCAGCACAACTGGATGCTTTGTCTCCAAGGAGGATGGGGGACTCGGCCCAGGAGCATCCTTCAGTCTGCCCATGGAGGAGGGAGAAGTGTCCGCCAAGAGAAGGAGCACAGCCAAACAGGTGATGGAGAGTGTGGAGCTGCAGCCAGGTGCATTGGAGCACAGCCTCCCTGAGCCTGGCAGTGCCACCTCCCTGGCAGCAGTTGCACTGTGCTCCCAGGGCACTTCTGAGCCTACAGGGAATGGGGCATCCCTAGGATCCCCTCCCTGGGCAGTTCTGGGCTGCTCTGCACCTGCACTGGGGTTTCCCATGTCTGCTGTTCTTCCCTCCCAGATCACTTCCCCCATTACCCACCCACTGAGCCATTCCCAGATCTTAGTGCTCACGTCGTCCCCGTGCTTAAAGTGTCACATGCAGAGGAGGAGGAAGGTGAGTGCTGTCCCTGTGCATTTTGTTCCTTTTATCCCCTATCTGTGTATTGCAAGCCCTGTGCTGACAGGTACCCAGGGATGCCCAAAGGCCATGGGATAGCCCAACGGTGCTGCATTCACTGCCAGTGTTGTCTGCAGGGCAGGACAGGCGTGTTGTCGTTGACACCAATGACCTGGAATACGAGAGCATGTATGGAGAGCAGGAGGACTATGACACAGCTCTGGATGCAGACAGCTCGGAGCAGCTCGCAGAGGACGGTGAGCTCCCTGTGCCCCATGGGGCACCAGGCATGGCACAGGTGACCCCCTGGTGCAGGGGCTGCCATTGTTCTGCTGGGAACCCAGTGCACCGAGCCTATGCCTGGGGTGGGCACTCTGGAAGCACATGGTTTGCTCAGGCATTGGGTTCCCTCTGCTCCTGGATGAGAGATGCTGGTCCATGTTGTGCCCTCATCATTGCGCTTTGTCCCTGCAGCTGAGCCCTGCAAGCAGCCCATGGAGGAGGGGGGCTGCCAGCGGTACACACTGCGCTGGTACTACAACCAAAGAGCCGCCGAGTGCCGGCCCTTCGTCTACAGCGGCTGCCAGGGCAATCTCAACCGCTTTGGCAGCCAGGAGGAGTGTGAGCTCCGCTGCAGGCAGCGCGTGGGGACAGGTGGGCACAGCACAGCTATCAGCTCTGGCACCCTCGCACCTGGTGCCGTGCTTGGTGCCACCTCGCCTCCCCCCACAGGTGCTGGCAGCAGGGAAGGACGGCGGCCAGAGGCGTAGCGTGGTGATCCCTGCAGGAACATGGTGCTATTTCTGACGTCTCTTCTTGTTGCTCATGGGTTTTTCCCTTTACATTGGTTCTATCGCCCGTTAAAGGTGAAATTTCTATCAAATGGGAACACAACCTCCCCATATGCCTTTTATCTGCTTTCCAAACCAGAGCTCTCTTTGTTGTGTTGGTTTGATTTTTAACTTATTTGCTGCCAATGGGATAGCTCTTGGCCCCATGTTCCTTTTTTGGCTGCCAGAGCTGGGAGTGGGCACAGTTTGGCCCCTTCCCCAAACCCAACACCTCAAATCCCCGAGGCTGTGGGCTGCCCTCATCACCCTCTTGGGCTCCCAGCATGCAACCACGCAACCTCCATTTGAATGAATTTCACCTTCACCCCACCTGGGACCCGGTTTCCCTTTTGGGGTGCAATGGTTTGGCAGAGAACTGCAGGAGGGAGGGAGGCTTTGTCCATGTACTGCCCTCCGGCTCACACCTCTGCCTGGAAACTGGGACACACCAGGGAGACCCTGAGGATGGTGCTATGTTAGAGGCGGTTCCTGCTCATCAGGAAGGTGACGCTGGCTCCTGCGCAGCCTAGACGCACTGCTGCTCTGTGTATATCTGTATACAGCGAATGTATATGTGTACCAATGCAGGGGTGGGACACGGTATTAAAGATGTGCTCATGGAAGGATGCTGTGCCTATTTGTGTGCCACAGGGTCTGGGGCAACACAGCCAACCTGACCCCCATGTCTCTGGCCCTATGTCTGCTGGCAACCCGTGTCTTCCTGCCAGCAGTGCCCGCTGCCTGCCCTCCTGCCCTGGTGCCCCCTGTCCCCGTGCCCTGTCCCTGTGCCTTGCTGATGCACACATGCCCACAACCCACAGGCACATGGGGCTGTGGTGCAGCATGAATCAGTGCCTCGGTCTAATTTTGGCCATTCTGCCATGCTGGGGGGTGACTTCCTGTCCTATCTCCAGGAGGAAGAACAGAGCTCCATTTATTTCCTCTCTCCACCACCCCACAGGCACAGTCACTCCAGCCCGCAGCAGAGCCTGTGGGCATGCTCGGTTCTATGCAGCAGCAGTTGGTTGGATGTCCAATGTGAGATAATTATGCTGAGTTCCCGAAATCCCCTCCAAATTCAGCTCCATGAGCTATGAGGGGACAAACGCTCACCCGCATCCCAAGGTGATTTCATCTGTGATGAGTTATTATCTGTGTGTTAATAGTGGCCCTGCTGCACGCCACCGGGGGGGCGGGAGGTGGAGCTGGGGCAGGATAAGAGCCAGGGCTCAGCCCTGAGCAGGGCAAACCCCATCTGCCACCCCTACACCGTGAGAGCAGCGGGGGACGAGGACTGCAGGAAATGGTGAGGCTGCACCTCTGAGTGGTGCTTTGGGGGGATTTACCTGGGACACGGGTCACAGGGGTTGGATGCTTTCTGCCATCACTCACCACTCAGTTTCCAGCTCATCCAGCTGCCTCTGGCTGCCCGCTCCGGTGCTTTCCAAAGGGTTTCACCCAGGAGGTGGGGTGCAGGATGAGGATGCTGGCTGCATTCCACTGCTTCTCTCTGGATTTTGCAGCCAGCCCCGAGAGCAGCACAGGGTCCCGTGGAGGAGGATGCTGAGGATGCCGTGCACATGGCTGTGTCATGCTCTTGTCACCCTTCTGCTTACTTTGGGCAAATCGTCCCATCTGAGAGGGCAGCTTTTGCCCCACAGAGCTGAGGGGTGGCACTCCCGGGGGGCAGCATGAAAGGAGGCAGTGGTGGCTTGAGTCCCAGTCCCACGTCACACGTTCCCGACCAAAGGGCAGCTGTGGGGCGGGGAGCGGCTGCGGGAGGAGACACTGTGTTGTCCCCAAGCTGCCATCACCACCCCATCCCTACGCTGCCACCACCCCACTGGGTGTGAATGGGACAGGGGACACCAGGTGGGGGGTGATGCTGAGTGCTGCGCTCTGTTCCTGCAGGCTGTGCTGCTGCCCTTCCTGCTGCTGCCATGGGGCGTGGTGCAGGGGCTGAGCCTCCAGCACGGCCCCGCTGTGCCCGGCGCCCCCTGGCATGAAGGTGGCTGGGACAAGGAGGGCAGCAGCGGAGTAATGCTGGGACTCCCTGGGGAGAAACATGGCCACGGCTCTGGGGATGGCTCTCAGTTGGATGGAACCGCGCAGCTGCTACTGGAGGAGTCAGTGAGAGAAGCGTGGCCCTGGCTGCCAAACCCCGACACCAACAGAGCTGCTGTGGTAAAAAAGAGCAGCACGGCAAGAAAGGTGTCCCTGTCCCTCGATGTCCCCACACACATCCTGAGGATCCTGCTGGACTTGGCCCGGGAGAAGGAGCTGCAAGCCAAGGCGGCTGCCAACGCTGAGCTGATGGCACGCATCGGGCGCAGGAAGTGAGCACGACACACGGCCATGGCCAAAGGACTCTGTGGGGTCGGGGGGGGCTGCTGGCAGCCGCTCCCTGCACCCAGCCATGCAGGTGCAGGATTTGGTCCCAGGCAAACTGATCCTTGGCATGTGCTGCATAGATGGTGTGCACACAGCAGCTGCTGTTCTAACAATCTGATGTCAGCATCGTGGGAGCAAAGCACCAGGCTGAGACAGCCCTGGTGACGCCGTGCCTGGTGCAGCGGGGTCTGCTTGGGCACGTCCTCGTCCTCAGCACACTTCTGCTGATGTGCCCCAGAGTCGCCCATCCACTCCTTCTGACCCCCAGTTTTCCGTGTACCCTCTGTCGAGATGCTCTGTACACCATAAAGCCCACCCAGACCTATGAGCACTGTACATGTGCAGTGTGTGGTGCCACTCAGCGCCGCCCCAGGGTTGCCACGCGCCCCAAGATAAGGGCCGAGAGGGCAGCGTGCGGCCGCCCCGTGCAAAGGGCAGGGCCAGGGCTGGGGCTGCTGCTGGGGTTGTTGCTGGGGCAGCTGGAGCCGGGTTGGACGGGGCCATGCTCTTTGAGGAGCTCCTGGTGCAGGGTGAGCAAGCACGGTGTTGGGGTGGAGGTGTCGGGGTGACCCCACTCTGGGGGTGGAATTCTGGGGGTGGGGAATGGAGCAGGGGTGCAGGCCAGCTGCTGCCGTGCTGGGGTGAGCAGGGGGTGAAGGGTCACAGCCCTGCCGTGGGGATGCGGGGGGACAGCCGGGTGACCCTGGGATATAGACAGGGGTTCGGTCCCATCCCCACTGCTGCGTCCTCCCTGCCGGTGTCCCTGCTGCTGCCGAGTGCCACGTCGTCCCCTGCTGCCGCTGGTCCCAGGTGTCCCTCCGCAGTTCCTCCCAGCACTCCCCAAGCGCCACCAGCTCCTCCGTACCCACGGTCACGTTGCGTCCCCCTTGGTCCCTGAGTCCCGCGGTCCCGGCGTCTCCCATGCCGGTGACCCCCTGCCCGCTGACACCCCCAGCCCCAAGCTGATCCCCGCAAACCCCGCTGTACCCCGAACGCGCTGCCCTCAACACGCGCCCCTCGCCCAGCGCCCACCACCGCTACGCAGCCCCGCTACGCCCACCCCGCAGCCCCCCGAGCCCCGCCCCATTCCCTCCGCCAATCGGACCTCGCCCTTCTCCCCTCCACCTGTCAATCACTTCCGTCTCCACGGACACCGCTCAGCGCCCCGCTCCCGCCCGTAGCCCCGCCCCTGCCGTACTCGCGGCGCCGCCGGCAGTGACGTCACGGCGGGTCGTCCCGCGCCTGCGCAGTGCGGCGGCGGCAGTGACAGGCTGGCAGGAAGGGGCGGGCGGTGGCGGCGGTACGGACGGGCAGCGCTGCGCTCGGCTGACGGAGGGCCCTCTCGCAGCCGCCGGCGGCGCCATGCTGAAGAAATTCGACAAGAAGGACGAGGAGTCGGGTGAGGGGCGGCGGGCGGCCAGGGGAGGGCGCGGGGGGAGCCGCGAGGAGCCGCGAGGAGCCGCGCGGGGAGGGCCCGGCCGGGGCCGTGCCGCTGCCGCGCCGGCCCCGCTCGCAGCCGCAGCTCTCCGTTCCTCCGTCGCTGCGCGCGGCCGTCGCAGCGCGTTCTCCTCGCCGCAGCAGTCCGCTCGGGCCCCGCTGGTTTCGCGTGGAAGGAAGACCCCCGGCACCGCCCCCGCCTCCCCGGGCCGTGTACGTGTCTCGGCCCCGCTGTCGGGATGGGCTCTGCCTGCCCGGATCCCGCCGCTCCGCTCCTCCGGGCTGCCTCGCGTGCAGCCCCCGGTGTGCGGCTGCCGCTGTGAGCGGCGCGGCCGGGTCCGTTCCGCGGGGCTGCTGCGAGATCCGTGCTTCGGGGTCTGTGGATCGGTGCAAATCGGTGCTGGCCGCCTGGTGCTGGGAGCTTTCTGGGGACGCTGCCTGCGCTGCGCCTGTTTCCCTTTCTGTGATCAGGAGAACGGTGCGGTGTGCTGCTGCACGCGGGGCCTCGTGTGATGCGTTTCCAGGTGCTGGGTGCTGCGAGAGGTGTGGAGATGGTGCTGTCATTGATGGCCAACCTGAGTTTGGCTTGTGGGCTGCTGCTAGGAAGGCTTTCTTTCAACCATTTTGTTCAAAAGCATTAGTAACTAGAACTAAACTAAAAGAGGGGAGGTTTAGACCAGATATCAGGGGTAGTTTTCACTGAGAGGGAGGTGAGGTGCTGGCACAGCTGCCTGGAGAGCTGTGGGTGCCCCATCCCTGGGGTGCTCAAGGCCGGGCTGGATGGGGCCCTGGGCAGCTGAGCTGGTGCCTCACTGAGTGGCTGACAGCTCTGCCTGGGTCAGGGGGATGGAACTAAATGATCTGTGATGTCCCTTCCAACCCAAGCTATACTGTGATTTTGGGATTGTAGATATTCTGTGCTGCTAGAAGGGCTTCTTTAACCATTTTCTTCAAGCACTTTCAGATGCTTAGACCAGGAACACTTTGCTTTTTCCCCGTGTTTTCTTTTCTTCCCAGTGCCAACAAAGCATCTGTGCTTTGCTCAGCCCCCCGCTGGATTTGCAAACAGCCTATGTCAGCAGAGGGCACTGGACCCGAAATGAATCGGGATGCAGATGGCTTTGCCTTTTATTGCAAAAGTAGTGTGTGATCCTTCTGGGGCAGAGCAGGTTGTGCTGGACCAATCCTAGAGCTCAGGCTTGTTAAGTTGCACTGGAAAAGGCTGTTTGTCCCAGAGCCAGGCTGAACATCGGTACTAATTACAGCCTGCTTATCAATAACCGACAGCTTTTGAGATGCTGTGGCTCAGAGATGCTTAGAAGGAGGCAAGCTAATAGAGAGAATGCAGAATAATGATGCTTTTCTCTCAGATTATTTCATCCTTAATTAATGAGTTGTTCATTGTTTAATATAATTTATTCTATTAAGAGGAACAATGAATGTTATTCTGTCTCCAGACTCTCTCATTTGCTGTCTTGTTCTCTTAATTAGTGATAGAGCCAAAGAATATTTACTGGTGGATTCATGATTGGTTTATAATGAAGGGATACAGCGCTCCTGACTCTCCAGCCTGGCAAGCACTCTTTGTGTCTGTGACTCTAAGCTTTTGTTCCTCAAACTGTCTTATTGATGCTCTAACTGTCAGCAACATCTTAGCCCTGGGGCTGGAAGTGGTGCCTTGGGGCTCCTTACTTTAGAGCTGATCAGACTCGTGGCAAGTTACTTCTTGGTGGGTGATAAATCAAGGGATGTCCTGTCTGCTCTGCTTTCCCTAACTGCTGGGGAATCATCCCATTAATACTGCTTAATAAGAGGAGCACTGATTGTATGGTGTTCACAAAAAAGCTACCCAATAAATGCTGGGCTTACCTTTAAACTGTCGGTGTGTTTTGAGAGTTGCTTTCCCATAGCAGAATCCCTGGACTTTCTTTGTCTTTATTTTGCAGGTGGGGGTTCCAACCCATTCCAGCACCTGGAGAAGAGCGCAGTCTTGCAAGAGGTATATCCTTAGAAGGTGTCCATTGCGCTGCCTTTTCTGGGTTGGGGTGTCCCCAACTCTTGAGTAGATCAACAGGGAATTTTAGTGGGGAAGCAGGGCTTTGTTGTGGTCCTACGGGCACCTAAAGTACCACAATATTCCCACTTGTTCTTGTTTTATTGCTGGAGGGAAGAAGGGGGGGGGGGGTTGAAATGATCTCTGTAATGAAATAGACTCTAAATGGTGAGTAGTAATATAGAATGTAACTGTCTGGAAAAGCTCACCCTAAAACAGGAAAGTTGGGAAATTAGCTTTGAATGCCATGAGCTTGTAGATTTCAAAGCCGGAGAGCAGGCTGCATGTGGTTATTGAGTAGACTCTGATTTTACTCTGAAATAAAACCCTTTTGGTTTGACATCAGACAAACTTCTCAGTCCCCAGACCCTGTTATTTCAGCGTTATCTGTTTGTTTGCCATATGATGGATGGTGTTGGTTCCTGTTAGCCTCGCAGAGCTAGCTGTCATCTGTCAGAAAGGTGATGTTTTAGCTAGCACACGATCCAAACTTGTGTGGGTGAAAGTGTGAGGAGGATTTAACCCTTAAACTTCCATTGTGCTTGCATTTGCAGTCTCAGGATGAAACTATAGAACCATCTGCTTAAAACAGGGCCTTGTTTAGCAGGAATTGGGGAAAATCTGATCCAAAGTCACTAAGTGAATTTTACCTTACCTCACCAACAGTTTGTTGTTTATATCAGGCCAGAGAGGACAGTGTTTATTAGGAGGTGTTGATATCAGCATCCTTGTCTGTGATTTGTTTCCAGGCACGTGTGTTTAATGAGACTCCCATAAACCCACGAAAATGTGCTCACATCCTCACCAAGATTCTGTACCTCATAAACCAGGTAAGGGAGAAAAATTTAGCTGATATGTTCTTTAGATTGTTAGTTTTCTCTAGTTGTCTTCTGAATTGTTTTGCTGACCATATCCATTAAAAGTATTTT